AGTCATGTTATATGTAATAAGTTATCAGCTAACAACTAATTTATCAAACATCTTTTTACAATCAGTTAATGTTATCAACCAGTCAAACCCACTAACACAACTATTTACCAAATATCTCCTAACTAATAATATTAAATTATTGATATCCATTCATAATTGCTTTATTATTTAGTGCACCAAAATGCTTTATTATGATATATATATTTATGTATTAAATGCTAGCACTACGAATGGAGTAAACTAGTCACATCATTTTTTTTATGTTATATAAATTTTAAAACCTCATCAAAGATTTTACCAATTTGACATAATCTTACATAATTAACTCATAATGAACTTGCTACTTTATAAGTATCGTATAAATATAAAATAATGTGAAAATATCATATTACACCTTATTAGGAGAAAATATATGGTAAAATAATGTTTGTCTATATAATATTTTTCATGCATTTATTGACTTTATGTAAATGGTTTGACCCCTGAATAATCAATTATGTAAGGGAAATTCTATTTGCACCACCCTATTTGCTATTTACACCCACCTATTTAATAGGTATAGTAACTTTATAGGTGTTGTAAATACAAAAGTGCTATTTGCACCACCTCACTAAATATAGTCAATCATTAATTTTATTATTTATTTTTATTTAATAATCAAATTACTAAAAAAAATAAAAAAATAAAAATAAAAACTTCTCTGTTGAGAAGGCGATGGGCTGCCTTTCTCACCGGAGAAGGCTGCCTTCTCCGGTGAGAAGGCAGCCCATCTAGTGGGTCGCCTTCTCACCGGAGAAGGCGACCCAGGTTGCCTTCTCCGGTGAGAAGGCAGCCCATCCAGTGGGTTGCCTTCTCACCGGAGAAGGCAACTGGGCTGCCTTCTCCGGTGATTGCCTTCTCCGGTGAGAAGGCAGCCCAGTGGGTCGCCTTCTCGCCGGAGAAAGCGATAGTTGGTTTCTTTTTTATTTTTTTTAAGAATTAAATTTTGACTTAATAAATGCAGTTTTAATAGGGGTGATGCAAATAGCAATTTGACCACCCATTAGGCTATTTGCACCACCTATATATTTATTATAAATTACAACCTTTTTACATTTTCAATGATACTTTATATCATTTTTGGTCAAAGGGTGGTGCAAATAGCAACACCCTTATGTAAGGCTGCCATTACTGTCAAATTGTATATATGTTGTTAATGCTTTTTAGTGGTTCAATCAAGAGCCTTATGATTTAGCCATCAATAAACTATAATGCTTGCCATTATACAAAATTTTTAATTGTCATATATATATTTATCACTTTCATTATTTATCAACAAATATTTTATTTGTAATGTCAATTTATAGATAAATTTTAACTTGATCGCAAATATTTTTGTTAGATTTTTATGTGATTTTAAATTAATTTGTTGACAACAAATAAGAAAATTTGTGTATACTATAGGTTCGTATTTAATTGGAAAATAACACTTATTTCCTCTGAGTTATATGCTTATAACACTTTTTCCCCTGAGTTATTCATGTACCCACATTTGCCCCCTCAGTTATGTTAAAAGTGACGGTTCCTCCCCCCCCCCCCTCCCCCCCCCCTTATGTTAGATGGATATCTTTCTATAAGTATTTCATTTATATTTCTTCTCCAAAAAATTATTGCTTGTAAGTATGGATGACCACGGTTCGGTTCGAACCTAACCGAACATTGTAACAACTGAATCAAAACAGCAGGGACGGTTCTGATTACGATTCAGAACCGAAAAAATAAAATAAAATAAAATAAAATAAAATAATTGTTGAATTTAGATTATTTTTAAAATAAGAAATTGAATTTACAAAAATAAATAAATTTTGAACTGGCGATTCTAACAAAATTTATTTATTTATTTTTGTAAATTCTATTTATTATTTTTTAAATAGTCAAAATTCAATAATTATTTTATTTTACAATGTTTTTATTTGGTTGCTACAATGTCCGGTTAGGTTCAAACCGAACTGTGATCATCCATACATACAAGATTTATTGGGGAAGAATAATTTATTGGGAAAAAATAGATGAAATACTTATTTTTAAGGGTAAATATGTCCATCTAACATAAAAGGAGGAAAAATCGTCACTTTTAACATAACTGAGGGGGCAAATGTGGGTACATGAATAACTCAAGGGGAAAAAATGTTATAAGCATATAACTCAGGTGAAAAAAGTGTCATTTTCCCTATTTATATTTTATATTCGGTGTGTGAAAAATTATAGTACTAGTATTTTCACCCGTGTGTTGCACGGAATGAATTTATTATAATACTCCGTACTTTATAAGAATATTTGGATCGATATACAAATATAAATTATAACAACGAATATTATATAGTGCAATTGATGAAATGAGTTGTATCAATTATGTTTTTTGATGTTATCCTTGCTTGAATTCGAGCAAATAATTGCCCAATTACCCCTGTAATGCGAGTGCGGTGCACGTGCAATGCACGAATAACATTTTTTATTTTATATTTAGACAATAAAACTAAAGATGAAATTATAAATTCTGTAGTTGGTGAGGCTGTATTGCTTTAAAAAGTTCATTGATCAATGGGGATTGATTCATCATCTGTTCTGGGGAAAATGAAGGATAGGGTGGTGGAGATGACCAAGAATGCAGCAAAAATTGGGAGGGACGACCCAAGAAGTGCTGGCGCAAATGGGAATGTTTGTCTTTTATATATATATATATATATATATATATATATATATATATATATATATATATATATATACTAGTTTTTTACGCGCATTGCGCGATTGGGGTAATGCCAATGTTTTTTTTTTTTTATTTTTAAATAAGTACTTTAAAGTATATCAAGGCAAGATTATATTGGAATTGTTCATGTATAAATAATTGAACTTCCATTTGGAAGATTATGAGTTCGAGCCTCAGTGGAGGCGTTATTGGTTCTTTGTGTTTCAGTAGGTTGAGAAAGTATATGAACAGATACTACAATGTAATAGAGCCAGTAGCTTTCAAAAAAAAAAATAATTGAATGTTAAATTTGTGTATTTAAATAGGCAATTCTAAGTTTACAAATGCAAGATAATATAGTCAAGATTGATTATAATTGTCAAGATTGATTATAATTGTCAAATAAAAATTAGGGCATAAAATATTAAATATATACTAATATTGAAGAGCTAACTCCTGATTGCCAAACAAGAACATTGCGAGATAGTTTCCACTTCAATTTGTTGTGTGATTTGAATACTCTTTTTGTCAATAAATCCCCAAAGTAGTTAATATGATCAGTTTAATTATATTTTTTATTTCTTTTTTTAAAACAATTATTATTATTATTATTTTTTATTATATATATATATATATATATATATATATATATATATATATCTTAAATTTTGTCATCGTATTAATAAAAATACTTGGTAAATAAATATATAGCATTGTTTTGTATTATAACTTTGATATTTAATTAAAAAATTGTGCACAAAAAAAAGATAATAGACAATGTAGTGAATATAATCAATTGATGAATTTGTACATTGGAGAAATATAAAGACAATATAACTAATAAAATTATTTCTCTTAACTAATTTATTGATAATGAATAATTTTTTTTAATAAAGACATTGTAGGGACAATGTAGCGAATATAATCAATTGATGAATTTGAATGTAAAGAAGTTTTATATTGGAGAAAAATGAATACAATATAAATAATGGAATTATTATTTTTATTTAATTTATTGATAATGAATAATTTTTTTTTTTTGAATAAAGACATTGTAGACACATAATTCTAAATTAAAGAAATGCATATGTATTATTTTTTGTTGTAGCTACTAAATTATTATTTTAATTTAATAAGAGTAAAATAAAGTACTAATTATGCCAACTTTGATTGGGATGGGGTTCGAACCTAAGACCTTTCTTATTGAATTCAATGAGTAAGTTAACGGTGAACTAACAGAAATTAACGAAAAAGATAATATTTAACGGAAAAGTTAACAGAAAATCATATTCATTAAGGATAAATTAGGAAATCTTAAAGAAAAATAAAAATCTGATCAATCTGAGCCATTCATTTGATTAAAAAATTTGACCGCCATTTTTTCTACCCATTATAGGCCTAACTCTCTTGGCCTCTTATTAGTATAGTAGATAGATAGTAGATTTTTAATAAAGACATTGTAGGGACAATGTAGCGAATATAATCAATTGATAAATTTGAATGTAAAGAATTTTTATATTGGAGAAAAATGAATACAATATAACTAATGGAATTATTATTTTTATTTAATTTATTGATAATGAATAATTTTTTTTGAATAAAGACATTGTAGACACATAATTCTAAATTAAAGAAATGCATATGTATTATTTTTTGTTGTAGCTACTAAATTATTATTTTATAATTTAATAAGAGTAAAATAAAGTACTAATTATGCCAACTTTGATTGGGATGAGGTTCGAACCTAAGACCTTTCTTATTGAATTCAATGAGTAAGTTAACGGTGAACTAATAGAAATTAACGGAAAAGATAATATTTAACGGAAAAGTTAACGGAAAATCATATTCATTAAGGATAAATTAGGAAATCTTAAAGAAAAATAAAAATCTGATCAATCTGAGCCATTCATTTGATTAAAAAATTTAACCGCCATTTTTTCTACCCATTATAGGCCTAACACTCTTGGCCTCTTATTAGTATAGTAGATATATATATATATATATATATATATATATATATATATATATATATATTGGATCCAATGAGACTCCTTGGCAGGTGAAATGGTGATACGTCATCTTGATCGTTTATTTTAATATTTAAACGGCTCAGATTTGGTGCATTTTAACACCACGTGTGCTCAGCATGTATGGACTCAAGGGCATTGTTGTCTTTCTTCGCTATCTTTATTGATTTGCATTAATTAGTCTGCCGGTTATATGGGCGTGTGTTTGTGTTATTTTTGGTCTAATATCACTTTTCAATATTTTTTACTTTATTTGCCGTCCATTCAGTTGCTCTACCACTAGTTTCTTCTCCGTCCAGCCACGCTAGGAAAGCATTCTCCAGTGCCGCTCTTCCCGTTCCGTCCAGGGTGTCTCCATGGATGGTTCTACCAACAGGCATTCTAAGCGTCAAAGGGCAGTTCTTCCGATTCCCGTCAAGGTATTCCGAGTCCCCATTCTTTTGTGTTTGGGTTTCTTTGTATTTTTTTTTTTGTTGCTTTGCGTTGTTGCGATCTCTGGGGAGAGGACCAGGCCGGCGTGATTTTTTGGCGGTTTTATTTGGAGTGGTTCGGGTTGGGGGGTTTTTAGTCTGTGAGGGTTTTGGCGGTGATGGGCGCTGGGGTGGTTAGGGTTTCGGCTGAGGGTTTTTTTTTTCTTTATCTATTTGTATTTTTCAGGCGGGGTGGTGCGATTCTTTGGCTGTATTTGTGGGTGATTCGTGTACGGTGATGGTGTGCGGTAGGGCGGGGTATGGTTCCTGCCGGAATTTTTTTTTGTTTTTTGTTTTTTTTTTTTTGTATTTGTATTTTTTCGGTAGGGGCTTTGCTGGCTTTTTTTTTTTTTTTTTTTTTTTTTTTTTTTTGTTTATACCCGTGGTGGGTGGTTTTGGCCTGACGGGTTTGTGGGGGTGGCCGGTGCGGTCTGGCGGTGATGGGGCAAAGGGAGGGGGGTTAGGTAGTGAATGTGCGGTGTGGCAGGGGGGTTGGGTAGTGGATTTGTTTACAAACTTGAACAGACAAATTTTTAAACCAGTCACTGTTCTAGTTCTAGTTCAGAATCAGTTTGAATTTATAAATTTTAAAAATTATAAAGGGCATTCTGAGTTTCTATGCCTAAATTGGAGGAATCTTAACAAGGACCTTAGGATCTCGGCTTAGAATAGAATAGTAAATGGTTTGATCCAAACTGTTGCCATGGCTACATCAGGCTACTGGTTTCTCAGAAAATGTTTAACAGTTTGTTCTGGCAGAGTGTGAGAGTGATGCAAATTAAGTCAAAATATTATTTTGAGATAGTTTTAACTTCTCTTAGATTTTAGTGTTAATCTGATTCAATGCATTCTTTCTCCTTTCAGTGCTCTGCCTTCAGGATTGAATTGTCTTCAGAAGAATTTTTTCCCATGTAATTGGGGAGATCCCATTTGTAAGTTAAACCAAAATGTGCTTCACTGATTAATACTTTATGCTCAAAACAAATATGTTGAATTTATAATTCTTTAAAGATGAAATTTCTACTCGTTTCCAACTTCTGTCGTCTAACTTTTTATATAATTTTGCATGCTACATACTGTGAAAACGAGGCCGAATAATTAAAACAGCAAAAGATTTTTGTATTAAGTGTTGATATTTAATATTTAATGTTCATTGCAAAGCATGTAGTCTTTGCATGATTAAGTTCTGAGATGTTATAGATTATTACATGACTACTATTCTATTTCTATGCATTTTGAGATGCAGGTCTTTTAACACTTCATATTTGCTCATCACCCACAGACTCTAAGCTTGTGCGTGTGGCTGTAGAAGTGTTTTTTTTTTAATTTTTTTTTAAAAAAGTGTTGTGTTTTCTAGATTTTTGTTTTTGAATAATTTTATTTTTGTTCTAAATTTTTATTTATTGTAGTATTGTAGACCACTTTGTATTGGCAATTAGTGTATGCGTTATTGGGGTGACGTTTGTGCGTAAAACAGTGCATGCTAATTGGTTGGTGCATTCTAAGTGGTTGGATTCACCAATTCTGGTCTATGAGTTGTTTTTTTAAATTTATGGCGTGTTTGCACTTGTCATGTTCTCAGTTATTGTAATGTTGTAGACCATTTTGTACTGGCAATTAGTTGGTGCGTTATTGGGGTGACGTTTGTGCGTAAATTTGTGCATGCTAATTGGTTGGTGCGTTCTAAGTGGTTAGCTTGTGCGTAATAACGGGTTTTTGTCTTTCCCAATTCTGGTCTATGCATTGCTGTGGTAAAGTAAGTGTTTAGGAGTGTGTTTTTTAATTTCTACTGTCTTGTTGAATCTTTTGTTGCTAATAGTGCTTCAAATTTGTTATGTCTAGGTGCCACTGTTGTACATACGGTTGATGTAGTGGAGGTTTCACCTTTGATGCCGTCTGTAGATGTTGAAGCACCCCCTGTTCCGCAACCGGATACGAATTCAGAGGAGGAGGAGGATGATGGGCTAGACGCTGATGATTTGAAACTATTTCCGCTTCTGAAGATTCGTGCTTCTCCCAAGCATTTAGTCGAACCGATGAAGCATTCGGATAGGGCAGTGCCCCGAGCCATGCCGTCGTTGCGTGGTTGGACTTTTGGGCTTTTAAAGGCCAGACAGTTATCCGATATCAAAATGGGAGGTTTTGGTAGGGGAGAGGTTGTGGGACCGTTCATTCCCGATGTTGACCACGTAGTTCTGGGTCCAGTTAGGGTAATATATGAACTAATTTAAATTCATATAGTGTGTTTTGAGGATTCTTTCTCTATTTTGTTTGTTTTTCCATAGCGTTTTAACTGTAGTTATGGGGTTATTTTTATTTCCCTGTTGATTGGTTTCTAATATTATGCTTTTGTTTGTGTTAAGTTCCATGCGACTACTAACGCTCTCTTTTTTTCATAACGCACCGACAACAACTAACGCACATACCACCACTCATTCACAAACCAAGTACCCTGTCATACCGTCTATTTCATTCATAACGTACTTACAAATTGCTTTAACGCTCACCCTTTATAATAATAAACTCAGGCAAAAACTAGTGCTTTCCTGCCATACCCATTATACTACCATGCACATATGACGCAAAACACCGTTGTTCACGAACGCACTACCTGCAAGTCCCCCAACTCAACAAACTATGTAAACATTTCTCTTTTTACTAATAAAACATCCTATAAATATCCCCCATGGTTCTTCATCCCCTAGCTTATTTACTTCATTATAGCCAGTCTAACAATTCAACACCAAAACTGTAAACATTTCGACGCACAGACCGTTTATCACTCAAGCACAGTCCGACAACTTCTGACGCACAGGCCGACAACTACTAACGCACACACCACCTCTCAAACAATACCAAGCACCCTGCTATACCGTCTATTTCATTCATATTGTACAACAAATTACTTTCACGAACTCCAATTCTAATAATAAACTCAGGCAAAAAGTATTGCTTTCCCACCATACCCATTATATTTCCATGCACATATGACGCACCTACCGTTGTTCATGAATGCACTATCCGCAAGTCCCCCAACTAACCAACTGTGTAAACATTTCTCTTTTTACTAAGAAAACATCATATAAATATCCCACATGTTTCTTCATCCCCTAGCTTATTAAGTTCATTACAGGCAGCCAAACAATTCAACACCACTACTGTAAACATATTCGACACACATACCTTTTATCACGGACGCACAGCTAGCCAAACAATAACTTATTCGACGCACAGACCTATTATCACGCAAGCACAGACCTACGAATAATGATTCAATAATTATTAACGATAACAACTCTCATACCTGTGTTGTCATCCATCTTCAACCTCTGCACCCTACTTACAATCAAATATCAAACATAACGGCAGTAATATTATACATGTAGAGTATATTTGTATATTCTTTATTTCCATAATATTTGTAATCTTTGATTATGGCAAAGATTGCAATCTATTTATAACCAAAAATACCACATGCATACAATTACTTTTACACCCCTATTTAAAAAATGAACTTATTTAGCATTAAATTCCTCATTAATCATAGTTTGACAGTCATAATTCGATTAATCCTCTCTCTAGCTATCTAGGGTTTCAACATTCTCCTCCTAGGGCTTCCGAGGTTTCTACACGATTTCGACAATCTTCTCCGGCTATTACGACCGGTTTTTGTTTTCTTGATCGACGACATACGACGCTGAATTAGGCAGAGTGATGGAGCAGCATGCAGGAGGGGCGGTCGCAACAATTACTGCACGTTGGGCGGACCTGACGATCGAACAGGAGGAGGCAGCGCCGTTTGCTCCAGTACTGGATGAATCTGAAGTAGCGGCTCAGCAGACTGCTGAGCGGTGGATGTTGTTGGGGAAGTTTTTAACAAACAAGCTAGTGAAGATGGAGTACATGAGGCAGGTGATGGCGGCAGCGTGGCAGCCGGTTGCGGGTATGGAGGTTTCGGAAATCAAACCCCGTTTGTTCTTGTTTACTTTCAACCATGTCACTGATTTACAACGTGTTCTCAATGATGGACCATGGGCGTTTGAGAATGCAACATTCGTGTGTGATCAACTTGTGGAAGGGGGTTTTCCGGATGATGTAAGATTGGATACGGTTCAGATGTGGATACAGGTTCATGGTTTGCCGATGGGGTATACAACTGACAAAGTATTAGAACAAATTGGAAACTATCTTGGAACTTATATAAGAGGTGATGATAGGTTCACGGGTGCACCATGGAAAGTCTTCTACCGGATTCGTGTTGCTATTCGGGTGGACAAGCCGTTGAAGCGAAGGTTGAATTTTGTGAAGAGGGATAAGTCTGCGTGTTGGGTATCCTTCAAGTATGAGCGGCTGCACAATTTTTGCTTCTATTGTGGTAAGCTTGGCCATTTGTATAAATTTTGTCGAATAGCTAGGGATTCGGCTTTACCGGTCGAACAATATCCATACTCGGCAGAACTACGGGCAGGTGGTAGAAGGGGACCGAGAGCGGTTGGCGAATATTAGTTGACGCCGGCGGAGGATAATCAGCTTCGGCGGGAGGGGGGGCCGAGCGACGGATGGGAGTAGCCAACCGGAACAGTGGGGTGGCGGAGGCGGTTGATGATGATGGTGAGGGCTATGCTATGGAGGCCGTATCAAAGAGGCGTAGGGAGGATGGCCAGCAGAATGGAACCAATGGAGATGTAACTATGGCGGATCTCTCAAAAAACATGTTTGTGGCGGGAGCTGGATCGCAGCCCCGCCCGTCCTCATGAGTACCCTTAGTTGGAACTGTCGTGGCTTGGGCAATCCACGAACAGTTCAACAGATAGTGGACTGGGTGTCCAGTAAGAAGCCAGAGTTTGTTTTTCTTATGGAGACGAAGGTGGGACGGAGTCATGCTGAGCGACTTCGGGTAAAGTTGGGGTATGAAGGTTTATTTTATGTTGATAGTGATGGATTGAGTGGGGGATTGGCTTTGCTATGGCGCAAAAATAATATGGCAAGGTTGGTCAATTATTCCAGTAATTATGTAGATGTGGAAGTGGCTATACCGGGGAGTGCTCCGTGGAGAATGACAGGATATTATGGATATCCGGAACGTAGTAGGAGGTATGAGGCTTGGAACTTGTTACGATCCTTGGCTAATCGATCACAACTGCCATGGGTGGTAATAGGGGATTTCAACGATTTATTGTTTCAAAGTGAGAAGCGGGGGGGAAATCCACATCCGAATGGGCTCCTACGCGGATTTGGGGAGACCATTGATGATTGTGGTTTAGCGCAGATGCCTATGCACGGGTATCCGTTTACTTGGAAGAAGAGGGAGGGGACGGTACACTGGTTGGAGGAACAGCTTGATAAGGTCCTTGTTACGGAAGCATGGAGGAGTATGAATATGCAGGCTAGTGTGTTAAATATGATGACACGAAAGTCTGACCATTCGGCTTTGTATCTAGGGATTCGGGATGATATAAGGGGAGGGAGGCGAAGGGTGAGGAATTTCAGATTTGAAATGTCTTGGCTACATGACGAGGGCTGTAGGGAGGTGGTGGAGAGAGCATGGGGAGAGGGGAGGTTGTTGGGGCTGGTGGACTGTCTACAGTTGTGTGGAAACAGACTCACTACCTGGGGTGGGGATCGATTCCATAGATTTGGGGAGAAGATAAAGCGGTTACAGAAAGAGCAGGATCGACTGAGAGGTAGGCGAGATTTAGCATCATTGGCTGAATTTCGTCGTCTGGATGCCGAATTATGTAAGCTCGAGGCAATGGATGACTCTTTCTGGAAACAGAGAGCGAAGCAGCACTGGCTACAGGGGGCGGATGCGAACACGAAGTTCTTTCACAGGTATGCTTCTGACCGTAGAAAGAAAAATACTTTGAATCGATTAAAAACAGTTGATGGGGTATGGGTTGAGGGGAATGAAATGACTAAAACTATTATGGAATACTTTCATGAGGTCTTTAGTACTGGGAATCACCAGGATATGCCCACCACTTTATTTGATATGATACAGCCCCGAGTTACACAAGCACAAAATGAGTCTCTAAATTCTCCGTTCACTTGTGAAGAAGTGAAAAAAGCCTTGTTTGATATGTTCCCTGACAAATCCCCGGGACCCGACGGAATGAATCCGGGTTTCTACCAATATTTCTGGGATGTGGTGGGGAGTGATTTCTCTACTTTTGTTGTTAATTGCTTGGATGTTGGAACATTCCCGGAAGGACTAAATAGTACAAATGTGGTGTTAATCCCGAAAAAGAAATCCCCTGAGTATGTAACTGATTTAAGACCTATTGCTCTGAGTAATGTGGTCTACAGGGTAATAGCGGAAGTGATGGCGAATAGACTGAAGCCGTTAATGGAGGGACTAATTTCTGATTCCCAAAGTGCTTTTATCCCGGATAGATTAATAACAGAAAATATATTAATAGCTGCGGAGGTGGGACACTACCTGAATAGAAAGCAGTGTGGAAGAATGGGATGGGGAGCTTTAAAACTTGATATGGCAAAGGCTTATGATAGGATGGAGTGGAGTTTCCTGCAGAAAATGTTGACGGCCCTGGGTTTTAATGCTAGATGGATTGAGCTGATAATGCATTGTGTCACAACTGTCTCATATGAGTTTTTAGTTAATGGTATCCCATCCGGCCATGTTACACCGACCAGAGGTTTGAGGCAAGGGGACCCGTTATCCCCGTATTTATTTATAATATGTGCAGAAGGATTGTCTATGCTTTTGCAACAGGCCCAAGTACAGGGGAAAATACATGGCTGCAGAGTAGCCAGGGGAGCACCGCCAATATCTCATTTGTTTTTTGCGGATGACAGCTTGCTATTCTTTAAGGCGAATGTGGAGGAGGCTGGGGAGGTAAAACGGTGCCTTGCAGAATATGAGGCTTTGTCTGGTCAGGCTGTCAATTATCACAAATCCAGTGTGTGCTTTAGTAAAAATACGCAGGAGGAAGAGAGGGATCAGGTGGCGCAACTTTTGGCAGTCCCAAAAGCGGAGAATTTTGGCAAGTATTTGGGGTTACCATCTTTTGTGGGACGAGGAAAAAGGGCGGTGTTCTCGTATATTGAGGACAAGATCAAACAGAGAATTGGCACGTGGAATAAGAGGCTATTATCCCAAGCAGGAAAGGAGGTACTCTTGAAAAGTGTAGCACAATCAATGCCTACCTTTTCTATGAGTGTTTTCTTACTCCCGGAGGCAATATGTCTTGCGATTCAGAGGGCAATGAATAAGTATTGGTGGGGATCCGGGACGGACCGCCATATACATTGGAAAGCATGGGACAAGTTATGTGCCCCGAAGAAGTATGGAGGTTTGGGTTTTAAGGACCTGCGAGCTTTTAACTTGGCGATGTTAGGAAAGCAGGGATGGAGATTTTTGGTAAAGCCTGAGTCACTAGTAGCAAGAATTTATAAAGCAAGATATTATCCAAGAACATCCTTTGAGGAAGCGGTTTTGGGGAATAATCCTAGCTACTGTTGGAGGAGCATTTTTGCAGCCCATAGTTTAATTTGTGGAGGGATAAGGATGAGGATTGGGGATGGAAATAATACTTTAATATGGGGACATCCGTGGTTACCTGATGACTCAGAACCTATGATTCAAACTGATATGCCCCAGGAATTGGCAGGAACAAAAGTGGTGGGTTTGATTGACCAGGATACTGGAACTTGGGATCCACATATACTCAGGGACTTATTCATGGATTATGATGTAGCGAGAATAAAGAGGGTACCTGTTTGCATGGAATATCCAGATATGTGGTATTGGCAGGGGGACCCAAATGGAAATTATACGGTTAAAGGGGGATATAGGCTTGTTGTTGGAAATTATGAGTACAGGGATGGAGAATTTAGAGACTGGTTACACATGTGGAAAATGAAAATACCGCCGAAATGGAAATTATTTATGTGGAAAGCCCTCAGTGGTATTCTCCCTACCACAACGAATCTTATTACGAAAAGAGTGGATGTTGATCCAATATGCTCAATGTGTGTGACTAACCCCGAGTGTACGATGCATGCCCTTGTGACTTGTACATTCACGCAAGCAGTATGGGAGGAATCTACTTTGCCAATTATGAATATTACGGCCGATTCTTTTCAAACTTGGTTTCTTGAAATCATGAAAAAACTCACCCCTGATCAATTTATTATGGCAGCTGCGACGCTCTATTATATTTGGCGGGCGAGGAACCAAGCGGTATGGGAGCGTTTGTTACCGAGGCCAAGACGAGTGGTGCAAGCAGCGGCTGCAGCGTGGCAGGCATGGGCTGCGGTACATGCTGGAGTATCCACGGCAACATCAAGCAATGTTGGAGCTCTTGCGGCGTCAGATTCTGTTGGAGCTGCTACTGTGGAGAATGGATTGCCGAAGGTATACATAGACGCGGGTTATCATGCGACAAATGGGAATGCGACGGCGGGTGCAATTGTGCTAACAAGCGGAGGAGAGTTCATGGCGTGTTTTCATATGCAGCTTCCCGATTGTCTTTCCCCGTTGATGGCAGAAACCTTGGCATGTAAAGAGGCGTTGTCATGGTTAAAGGAGAAAGGTTTGCTCTCAGTACGACTACATACAGATTGCCGAAATCTACAGCGACTCCTAACAACACAAGCCACACGGATGCGAACATATACTGGCTATATCATTGATGAATGCAAGACTATATTGTCAACTTTTAATTTATGTCCTGTTAGTTTTATTCCTAGATTAGAGAATCTTATGGCGCATTCGTTAGCGTCACATGCTTTTTCTCAGACTCATACGATGTATTGGGATTCTAATCCCCCAGATTTTGTTGCAGCCTATCTTTAATATAATCACCCATAATGGTGGCTTTCAAAAAAATTCCTCATTAATCTCATCCATCCATTTCAATTTAACAAATGGATGGGATGTCATCCCACCATCTCATTTTATAAGGGGGTCTCATGGGATCCGCACCCTATATATATATATATATATATATATATATATATATATATATATATATATATAGTAATTTTAGTTGGCAAAATGGGAATGTTTGTTTGAGGTGAAAATCACATCAGTCTCTCTTAATTTTGACTTCTAAACCTCTCCCATTTGCTATTTAATTACGCAAATATTCACATTAATTTAGGTGTGTGTATCTCTCTGTGGCTCTGTGACCCACTCTCCTTCTTCTTTTTTTACCTCTCATTCAAATAATTATTTTTGTGTCTTTTAATATGTTGGTTGTGGTGGCCTGGTGCGTGGTGGAGGGACAGAGATGGATGCTCTAGAGGAGGTGGCCGGAGATCCCAACTACACCAAGCAGGATCTCTCCCACATTGTCAATGGCAAAAGAACCAAACGCTCATGCTCAACGCCCCATTATCCGATCACTGCTATGATGCCACCGCATTATTCCGTTGGAGATGCTGCTGCTGATAACGCCACCTCTGAGCCAATCCCCGCCGCCGCACCCACGCCAGAGGACGAGGACATAGCTCACTGCCTTATGCTCCTCTCCCAGGGCGGC